CACTATAAAAAATGTCGTAAAGTAAATTATCTCTTATAGTTTAGGAGATATTCGCATTTGAATATTAAAATTTTAAAATTTTTACCGTCCTTACTTTAGTTTTTTTGATAATAGCAGGTCCAAATATTTCCGATTTTCGCCATTTTTTTTATTTGCTTAACAACAAGTTTATATACCAAGCAGTGAAAGAATTATGTAAAAATCATGACTGAGTCCAAAGTTATAGGCATTTAAATTTAAAAAATTAAAAAAAGGCGATTTTTTGACATTTTTTTGGGAAAAAAGTATCTTTTTCTTTTTAAGTTATCTAAAAAGTTTCTAAGAAGATGTATATAGAATTTATACTTTTTGGAAAGCTGACTTTACATAAAATACGATAAATGAAACAAAACCTAAAAATTTTTGATACCGAGGGGACCAGGTCCATCCAAAAAAACCCTATTTTTTATGGAAAATTAAATTTTGAGCAAAAATTCTCAAATCGCATAGTCGATATCAAATTATAGTGACCTGTTTTATATGACCCAATAAGTTCTTAATCATTTTGTAACGGGTTTCGATAACCCCGCCCCTGGTATGGATATAATAGGCAAAAAACCAAAAAATCCCATTTTTGGGATTTTTTAAAACTTTTTTGGGAATTCCGGGATTTCTAATAAGAAAATTCGAAATTTTTATTTAATTTTGGATTTTGAGTAAAAAAATCTACCTAACTGTAAAATTTCATCAAAAAATATTCATAAATAAAATTTTTATTGCAATTTGAAAAATTTGTATCTTCGCAAAAACTGAATAAAAAACATTTTTTAATTTTTTTTAAAAAAAGTATTCCGCGAATTTTTTAATTTTCAAAAATTATATACAGTTTTGAAAAATAGACAAAATTACCTTTCCATTGATATATAACATGCCTACCTAATGTTTTTTAAGTGACAAATTAATTAGGGAAAACTCAACATCTTTTAGAAAATTTACCTAGCACTATTATTTTCATCCATATATGTAACAAATTTAAGAGTTAACCTTATGGATGAAAATAATAGTGCTAGGCAAATTTTCTAAAAGATGTTGAGTTTTCCCTAATTAATTTGTCACTTAAAAAACATTAGGTAGGCATGTTATATATCAATGGAAAGGTAATTTTGTCTATTTTTCAAAACTGTATATAATTTTTGAAAATTAAAAAATTCGCGGAATACTTTTTTTAAAAAAAATTAAAAAATGTTTTTTATTCAGTTTTTGCGAAGATACAAATTTTTCAAATTGCAATAAAAATTTTATTTATGAATATTTTTTGATGAAATTTTACAGTTAGGTAGATTTTTTTACTCAAAATCCAAAATTAAATAAAAATTTCGAATTTTCTTATTAGAAATCCCGGAATTCCCAAAAAAGTTTTAAAAAATCCCAAAAATGGGATTTTTTGGTTTTTTGCCTATTATATCCATACCAGGGGCGGGGTTATCGAAACCCGTTACAAAATGATTAAGAACTTATTGGGTCATATAAAACAGGTCACTATAATTTGATATCGACTATGCGATTTGAGAATTTTTGCTCAAAATTTAATTTTCCATAAAAAATAGGGTTTTTTTGGATGGACCTGGTCCCCTCGGTATCAAAAATTTTTAGGTTTTGTTTCATTTATCGTATTTTATGTAAAGTCAGCTTTCCAAAAAGTATAAATTCTATATACATCTTCTTAGAAACTTTTTAGATAACTTAAAAAGAAAAAGATACTTTTTTCCCAAAAAAATGTCAAAAAATCGCCTTTTTTTAATTTTTTAAATTTAAATGCCTATAACTTTGGACTCAGTCATGATTTTTACATAATTCTTTCACTGCTTGGTATATAAACTTGTTGTTAAGCAAATAAAAAAAATGGCGAAAATCGGAAATATTTGGACCTGCTATTATCAAAAAAACTAAAGTAAGGACGGTAAAAATTTTAAAATTTTAATATTCAAATGCGAATATCTCCTAAACTATAAGAGATAATTTACTGCTACGACGACATTTTTTATAGTGCTCGATGAGGAGATTCTATATACGAAATTTTTTTTAAATCGGAACTCAAATGAAGAAATAGGATCGTTTTAAAAATTTAACATAGCCGAGGTGTCCTAATTTGAGGACCCCCCGCCGGGCCCCTGATTGGCCTATAAGGTCCAAATTCAAAACCTAAACTCGACAACACCTCCTCTTTGTGCATACCAAATTTCATTAAAATCGGATTAACCGTTTAGAAGTTACCGAATTATTTCCCTCTTTTTTTTTCCTATACCACTGTGCGTAGTGCATTTATGACAACATTGGTTCTTTGCAACACTGAAAATATCTTTGTTTTTCAAATAATGAAATTGTAAAATGTACAGTATTACAATTGTCATAACATAGCTTCTTAACAACACTACAAATATTGCATTTCTTTACTTTCTTTGCATTGAAAAAGTAAAATACACAGTGTTGCAATTGTAGCACCATTACCCCTTTGCAACACCCAAATTATAATTGGGGGTAAGAAATATTTTGCGTTTTAGAGCTTAAAATAGTTAATCATAGTATCGATCTTAAATTTTCAAGTTTGCGTCACTTGTAAATGTATCACTTCACGCCCACCTGTCAAAATAAACCTATAAGTTAAATATTGATTTTTTTCAACAAATTATTTAATATAATAATTATCTTTCAATCTTAAACAAATATTGAACAGTTTGTCTTCCGCAGAATATTATAAAAATCAAAAGAAATATGTAAATTTTGTTTTGTAATTCCCCTTAATAACAACAAATTTTACTCCAATTTATAGGAATTTTGAAAGTGTTAATGAAGCTATTGCACGTTTTGAGAAAAAATAAAGAATAAAGTTAATAAAACTTTAATATAATTTACAATCGAAATTTTTAAATTAAATTACTAGTATAAACATAATTTTCAATAACATTTCTGGGAAATTAGTTGGGACATCTGCACTGTTTTACATCAAATGTCAGAAAGAGATGCCACAGTGTTTTAAAGTACTTAACAAATTTTCTACCAGTCTATAGGCTAGAATATAGAATAGACTATGGACTAGAATATACACTAGACTATGGACTAGACTATAGACTAGACTATAGTCTAAACTATAGACTAGACTATAGACTAGACTAAAGACTAGACTAAAGACTAGACTAAAGACTAGACTATAGACTAGACTATAGACTAGACCATAGATTAGACTATAGACTAGACTGTAGACTAGACTACAGACTGAACTATAGACTAGACTATAGACTAGACTATAGACTATGAACTATAGACTAGACTAGACTAGACTAGACTAGACTATAGACTAGACTATAGACTAGACTATAGACTAGACTATAGACTAGACTATAGACTAGACTATAGACTAGACTATAGACTAGACTATAGACTAGACTATAGACTAGACTATAGACTAGACTATAGACTAGACTATAGACTAGACTATAGACTAGACTATAGACTAGACTATAGACTAGACTATAGACTAGACTATAGACTAGACTATAGACTAGACTATAGACTAGACTATAGACTAGACTATAGACTAGACTATAGACTAGACTATAGACTAGACTATAGACTAGACTATAGACTAGACTATAGACTAGACTATATACTAGACTATAGACAATACTATAAACTAGACTATAAACTAAAGTATAAACTAGACTTTAAACTAGACTAAAGACTAGACTATAGACTAGACTATAAACTGGACTGGACTATATAATAGACTATACACTGAACTATATACTACAAACTAGACTATATACTGGACTATAGACTTGACTATATACTGGACTATACACTGAACTATATACTACAAACTACACTATACACTGGACTATAGACTAGAGTAACCGTTGGTTGCATTATTACCTCTAAAAACAACTTAAATTTGGGTAATTTCCGATTAATTTTTCCTAACGGAACTAACCAAAAACAATTAAACTTGTTTTTAACTAATAATATAAAAAAAGTTTTACCTTTAGTAAATTCCCTTTTATTAGTTTCCTATTAAATGTAAAAACCCCTTTTTCCATTTACTATTTTAACAGAAATTACTCGAACATTTAGTTTAATACTTAGCACATGGTTATTTCATAACTTATAAACTAAAACTAGACATCAAAAAAATTGCTCAATTGTCACAATAAATTAACATTAAATATAGAAAAAAAGCTACAAACAAACACGTGGTCAATCATATAATATAGAATGACAAGCACAAGAAACGTGTTAAAACAATTGATTAAATATGTCTACTACATAAGTATATACTTATAAATAGTAATACTTATTAAGAAAATAAAACATAAACAAATGATTATAATCTTTAGAAAATATAAATAACTTTTCTTAAACAAAAACAATAACAAAACATAACCATAACCTTTCAAATCAAATTGTAAATAATCATTCAGTAAATTTCCTTCATTACTCGTTTAACATCTTCTTATTTCTATTTTTAAACATTTATCAGGAAAAAAGAAACAAAAAAAAATAATCTTAATTTTTATATGATTTATAAATAACTTTTATTTTTTATAGAGTTTAGTTGATATTGATTTGTTATTAAATCAAAGATTAAGTAGTTACTATACTACCTATTTTTCTCTTTCTAACTGTCATCTTAAGTTGTAGTAAATTTGTTTAACACTCACAAAATTGATTGTGTGTTATTATTAAGCTTTTTTTTTGTTTATTTTCTCACTGTGTGCTGTTTTTTTGACAAGCAAATTGTGTGAAACCAAGTTGTTGCCATAACAACCTAGTTTTAATTTAAGTTTTATTTTATTATTTAATTAGTAATTTTATTTTAAAACTCACCGTATGTTTTAAGCTAGGTTGTTTTAATTTAAATACACCAACTGTTTTTTTACTATAATTGTTGTTTATTAATTATATTTGGCATGAAAAACTAATTTGTTTTTGTTTTTTATTTTTATTTCTATTTTTCATAACAAAAGGTGCTGTCTATGAGCAGTGAAGATTATCGCAAATCTTCAATATTCCAAACAGGATCATTTGATTTAGATTTCCCCATACCAGATCTAATTGGAACAACAGAAATTTTAACAGAAGAGCATCGGTAAGTTGAGGATTTTAATATTAAATAGTAACATAGGAAAACAAATGTTTGATCCAGAGACTGAAATATTAAAGTATATCCGAATCCGAATTTGGTCTTAAAATTTCTCCCAACACATCATATGCTCGAGATATCCTGTTCTAAAGTTTGAGGCGTTATAACAGTAATATATGTATATATATTGGTCTCTGGGTCTGGACTTTTACAAACTTTGTTGGCCTGTGTATTCCTTAAAATTGTCTTGCAAATTTAGTATTTGACGTTTTCTTTTTCTATTACTTTTAGTGAAAAACTTTGTGGCCATTTACCTGCCCGCGCTGAAGGTTATTCCTGGTCTTTGGTCTTTAGCACATCTCAACATGGATTCTCATTAAATTCCTTATATCGTAAAATGCAGAGACTTGAGAGTCCCATACTCATAGTTATACAAGACACAGAACAGAATGTAAGTAATTTAAACCTAACAGTACATCCGACTAGAAATGCAACTCTGTTCATTCTAAATTCTTAATTAAACTTGTATTTTTTATAAACAAAAACATGCAAAAGAACCATATAATCAACTTTTAAATTTAACAAGGTTTTATTAAACTATTTCTTTTTTAAAGAAATCTTGTTTTCTAAATTATTTTTGTTTTAAAATTTGTCTTAATTAAATTTCGAAATTAATACAAAATTCGTTTTCTCTTTCCAATATTATTGTTCTTTTAGGTATTTGGTGCATTAACCTCCTGTTCCCTGCATGTATCAGATCATTTTTATGGTACCGGCGAATCCCTGTTATACAAATTTAATCCCAGCTTTAAAGTTTTCCATTGGACTGGTGAAAATTTATATTTTATTAAAGGCAATGTGGAAAGTTTGTCAATTGGTGCTGGAGAGTAAGTATCTATAAATTTATGTTCACTAATCTGTGAACTAGTCTATGGTCTAATCTATTGAGTAGTCTATGTACTGATATACTGACTAGTCTCTGAACTAATATATTGAGTAGTCTATGGACTAGTCTATGCGCTAATCTATTGACTAATCTATGAACTGATCTATTGACTAGTCCCAGGACTAAACTATTGTCTAGTCCATGGAAAAATCTATTGACTAGTCCAGTATTCAAGTTGAGTAGTCTATGGGCTAATATATTGACTAGTCTATGGACTGATCTATTGACTAGTCTATGGACTAATCATTTAGTGGTCTATGAACTAATGATTTAGTGGTCTATGGACTAGTCTATGGACTAATATATTGACCAATCTATGGGCCCTTTGTACTGACTAATCTATTGACTAGTCTATGGACTAATCTATTGGCTATTCCATGAACTAATTTATTGACTAGTCTTCGGTCTATTGAATGGTATATTGTGTATAGACTAGTCTATTGACTGTTTATTCTTTTTAGTCTTTTGACTATTCTATATACCAGTATATGGACTAGGCAATAGACATGTATATGAACTGGTGTATGGACTAATCTGGAATAGTCTGTTGGCTAGTCTATGACTAGTCTCTGGATTAGCATATACATATACTATTCTATTGACAAGTATTGAATAGTCAAGTCTATGGACTATTGCTTAATGTATTGGCTAGTATACTGACTATGGACTATTGATTAGTTCATTGACTAGTCTATTGAATAGCCTATTGGCTAGTCTATGAACTATTCTATTGAGTAATCAACTTACAAGTCTATTGGCTAGTATATAGACTAGTCTATTGACTTATGTATTGACTAGTCTACTGACTATTTTACGAACTATTCTATAATCTATTGGCTAGTCTATTGACTAATCTATTGGTTAGTTCATTGACCAGTCTATTGACTGCTCTATATACTAGTCTTTGGACTATTCTATTGACTAGTCAATGAATAGTCTATTTACTACTTTATTGGCTATTCTACGAGGTCATCTTAATCTTTTTTTCTAATTTTTTTTTAACATTCTCTTTATTTCTTTCCACTTCTTCTCTTTCTAGTGGCCGTTTTGGATTATGGCTTGATGGTGATTTAAATCAAGGTCGTTCACAATCCTGCAGTACATATGGCAATGAGCCATTGGCGCCACAAGAAGATTTTGTTATTAAAACACTCGAATGCTGGGCATTTGTTTAAACAAAACTAACCTATAAATTAATAATATTTAAAATTTCTTTTGTTTATGATGTATTTTTATCATCATCTCCACAAAATCCAAAACCTTCTCCCTCAAAAAAAAAAAAAAAAAACAAACAACATTTTTATTTAACCACATAATACATAAATAAATACATACATATATATTTTTTATTAAATGAAAATGAAAAACCTAAACGTAGACAAACAACAAGTATAAGAAGAAACCATATTAATTTAAAATATTTTTATATATTAAACAAAAAACAAATAATTATTATACAAAACAATAATTTAAACGTTTCCAAAAACAAACGCTTAAATATTGAACATGTTTATATAAATTATACAACAAAATTTTGAATTTTTAATTGTTGTTATATAAAAAAAAACCAAACAAGTTAATTAAAATTGTGAAAAAAAAGCTGAAAAAATATTTAGAAATTGAAAGCTAAAAATAACAACAATTTAAAGCATTAAATAAACATTAAAATAATTATTATTGTATTGTATTGTCTCATCAACAAAAAATTTGCCTTCATCAAGTGTGCGACAGAATGTTAGACATTTAGATATATATGTATGTCATTCCGTCAACACATTTATTTAATTATTATAATTTTAAATTTCAACGTGATTATCATCTTCATCAATTATTATCGATATTGTCTTGATTGTTAATTTTGCAAATATTATATATTTACATACATCTGGACATCAAACTGTATTGTCATATTTAGCCATCCATCCATTCATGCATACATTTTTTTTTTCATTTGATACCAAGAATTCTTTATTATTTCTCTTTTTATCTTTTTTTGTTTTTAGTATTTAAGTTCAATTATAAGTTTATTTAGACCTCAAAGAAAAAAAAAACAAAAGCAAAAACTTATTAATTATAATATTATCTATATATTTAGAAGAAAACTAAGAAAAAAACAAAACAAAATACATAATTAAATGATTTTCTTTTTTGTCGTGAATTTAAAACCAACAATTTTTATTAATAATTTAAACAAAACTAACTAAAACTAAACTAAATTATTTAAATAACACAAAAACAACAACAATAAAAACTAAAAATGAATTATGCATTATTTAAAAGCGAACATTTTTATGTTAAACCCACAAGAAACGAAAATAAAATTATTTAAATATGAAAAAAAAAACTAAAAGAATAAAACATTGCAAAATTTTATAAATTATTTAAAAAAGAAAACTTGTGCAATTATCTTACAAGAAGAAAGCCTTTAATTGGTTTAATTAAAATTTTATAAAAACAGTTGTTAAAAGAACGCAACCTTAACAATAAACATCTTAAATAATTTTTAGTTAAAATCCCACAAAATAAACAAACAAGTGATTTTTTTATTTTTCATTTTAATATTTTTTTTTAAAAATGTTTTAGTTAAGCCATTTAATTTTAAAAATAAACAATAAAGAAAAAAACACATTTATTTTTTTGTTTTTACATAATAAAATAAATGCAAAAAATTATAACTTTATATTTATGGTTTTTTATTTTTGACAAAATTTTTCTTTTTTACACTCAACACTTTGTTAGTAATTACACTCCACTTGGAGACCATAAGGTCCATTATGATTCCCTTCATAGAGAGTGAAAATCGTAATACTTGCAGAGGAGAGATCTAAGGATTGGAATTCAACCCACAAGATTTACAAAGTCTATTCCCTAAAGAAAGAAATGTGAGAGAATCTTAGTGTCCCTATAAAACCCAGTCGACGAAATGCCTAATTCCCTAGTAGACTGCGAGGGTTAAGTACCGCAATTCCATGAAGAACTGTCGCACTTCATGGAACCTATTCTCCGGTCATTTCAACCTGAGATTTTGTATTCTAGAACAGTGGCATCATATGTGTGTGGCATCTCTACACTCAACTCTAAATTGTGTCAATTTAATCTCTAAACCGTTCTCCTTGAAAAGTATCGAAAACAACTTACATACTTTCTCCTTGCTGACACAGAATTTTAGAATATGTTCTAAAAGTAACAAACACATTAAATTCCTGTATTCTAATTTTGACGTGGGCATTACTTCTAGAAACCGTTTTCTGAAACATCGTTGTGAAAAAATCACTTAAAAATTACGAAATTTTTTTCGAATATGTACGTAGATCTTGTATGGAACTTTTCATTCAGTTGCCAGATTTGTAAACAAATTATGTCATAACAAATATTTTAACGGATGTTATTGGGGACTGAAAGAATTGTTATAAACAAGTTTCACCTACACAGGCGGACATTTTGAAAAAAAATCAAAAACCAGGTACTAAAGTATACATTTGTCAAGGAGTGAGGTAAGCTGAAATTGAATCTCCCTATAGAATTTCTCCATAACCTCCGATTTTCAAGATAACTTAGCTCAAAGTAAAGGTTATCTTACGCCATATTTGAGACGTTATTACAGCACGAAGTCACCTTTATAGAATTAGTCATTTCATCTGAAAGTTATATTTGTTGGCTTCGAAGTAAAGGCTTAAGAAATGTTATGAAGTTTGAAAATCTCTAAAAAGAACTAATTCTAGAAATGTCCCAAAGAAAGTATATTTGTTCTCGAAAGATTTCCCACAACAACAGCCGAGTATAACAATTTAGCCTTAGTTGACTTAGTTGATTAATGATTCCAAAAATTTGTATAGAACAAATCTTCGGAACTCATTCTGTTTCTGTAAAATAATCGCAAACAACAAGAAATGAAATCGCGTATTTGAAACAATTCTGGATGGAATGTGTACCAAGCCGGTGATTCGATTTGAAGTTTAACTCGTATATAAATAATACAATTTCTAGAGAATTTCCTTCTGAAATGTGTTACGAAAAAGCAGGTTCATCGAGGTCCAGACTTTAGAATTGAGCTGCTTCGTATCACTACGATATTTTGTGACTATTATATTAATATTTAGCATATATATGTTTTCCAGACATGCCCTGGATGAGACTGTAACTGCAAGTTATAAGGATGTCTTCTATGGTGACATTTCAGGAGAAACTGTTTTGTCAGTTTAGTGTCTCATTACTGGCAGATCTTTAAGCATATTCGGAAATGTATTACTGCGCTGCACCTGAAGTTCAGTACATTCGGAAATGCACCTCGGTAAAAAGCTAATAATCCCAAAAATGTGATATTTTACAATTTTGCCCATTAGCTCCATATTTCTTTCGAGTCTGGGAAATTAGTTTACTAATTAAAAAAAGAATGGTTTCTAAAACTACTTCATGTTTTGCGGTCTCAGCTGTGGGATTTTAGAACATCTGGTCCAAAGTTGCAATTTTGATAAAAAATAGCTCATTATTGGAATACATGAACCGTTTAGCAGTCCCATGTAATGCAGTTATGTATGATGTTCATCATGGTTTTTGAAAACATAGTCTGCATTACATAGGGCCATGTTGTGGATCACGTACATCCATAATTATAGCAAAGGACACATATGTGGGTGGATTATATGGTCTTCACCAAAAGCATCACAACGTCCTAGGGACATGTTTTTTCATATATTTGGCTCAGGTTTTAATCAATCCTTTGCAAAGTTCTCTTTATAAGAGTGTGCTGAGTAGTCAAAATTTTTGCAGACATGTTTTTCAAGATTTTAGAAAATATAAATAAATAAAATTGCACACGTAGTGCTCTAGTTTGAGCTTCCATAACGCCGCTCCTGGAGCAATTGCTTGATCCATTTTGAAAACTTAAACTCTAATTCTATTTGGCTACGCTCGTGTGGAAAGTTGGGTAAGCACATTTGTATCCAGTTATTTTTTGTACTTAGTCGAAAGATAAGTAGTTATTCACCCAAAAAGTAAGTAGTTTCACTTTTGTCCAATATTACTTGCCTGCTAACCGGTTAAGTGAAGACTTACAAAATCTCTTGTCTATTGACTATGGATTTGTCCATGGAATTTATGAATTTTTCTATGGATTAGTCTATGTCTGTGGATTACTCTATTAACTGGTCTGTTGATAAGTCTATTATATTAATTAGTCTATTAGCTAATCTACTGACTTTTATATGGAATCAAAGCTAAACTTTTAATAAATTTACAATACTAATAAGTTTTCCATCCCTGTATTGAAATGTTATGGTTCCAAATATGTAGTTGTTTTCTTTGTCACCATAATTGTTATCGTTTGAGTAATATCACACAGGAATAATATTATTCATGCGTCGCAGTTTATGAATACTCTTTTGGAAAAAAAGTTTGGAAATTTCAATAACAAAGTGATTTAAATATTTTCACAATTGTTATATAATGACAACAGGTTATTAATACGTCATTAATTTTGCGTTTACAATTTGATATGACAAACAATATTAGTAAAGATACGTTCACAACTATCAAATATTTGATGAAATGACGTGACATAATAGATCTTTGAAGATATCCCTTTAGAATGTCTTTATTATTGTTGTTATTATTATTTGCAATTAAAGGGATCACTTAAGATCAAGAAAACATAATGATTACGTCTTTTTCGTGAAATATTTGATTGGTGTGAATGTACTTTAAGATAAAGGAAACTTTTAGTAAAATTTACTTAATTTGAAAGATTGTTGAATGATTAATCAGTAAACTGAGTCTTTTTTGACTCTTTTTTATGAGCTAAAAGTGATTTATAAGTTGCGCGCTTAAAAATGAATGGAAAATGATAACAATATATGATTAAATTTCAGTTATGAATTGATCATCCTGGTGTTTCAAATATGATGTTTTTAAACTCCTATTTTGATCATATTTCAAACAGTTTGAAGATCAAAAATGGTTTCTTTGGAATTTCTTTCTTTTGTTTTTGTAATGAAACACAAATAACGGAACAAAAATGGCTCAAAAATTATTCTTAAATACTAATCAAAAATGAGATTAAACTGATTAGAAAAGGGTCTCATAAAAGACTCTTGTAGAAGAGAATATACTCTAAATCTACTTAAATATGATTTAAAAACTCTAAAATGACCGGTAGTACTGCTCAAAAATAGATTCAAAAATGAGTTGGAACTGATCATAAGGGACTTTTTTACAACAGTCTCGTAGAGGGTAACATTTTCTCCCGACAAATTATCATTTATGATAAGAAAATGAGCTCATAAATGACCATTTTAATCCTTCACAAGAGTCATAAATGACTCGATTGGGATCAAAAATGTCGAAAAATGCTAGCTTGGAAAAAACTAGTTGAGAGATATCAACCTGTCACCATTAATACATTTACATAACTGAAATTTATTTACTAGACTAGATAAAACGATAAGTTTTGTTTTTACAAAATTTAAGTTAATATTTTGTTAAAATTTTAAGTTTTTTATTTTCTTAAAATATTGAAAACATAAAATCAAATAAATCATTATAGATTAACCCCCTTATTCACAAACAAAATTTTTATTTTATAAACAGTTTATAAATTAGATTTTGTATGGAAATTTTGTTTTTATAAA